ATCCCTCCATCTCCCCGCCCCGCGCCCCGGGAGGGGAGGGGACAGCGCCAGCGCCCGCGGACCCGCTTTTTCCGAGGGAGCGCCCAAGAAGCAAGCGCGCACTGAGCCACCCGGACTCCGCGCTGCGCTGCACTCTTGGAGGCGCCTGGTGCCGTCGGGTCCGCCTGAACTGCGACGCCCACAGCCTCGGCGGGACCGGATCCCCGGCGACGGAGGCGCCCACAGACCGCGCGCCCTTATGTTCCCTGCGCAGGACGCTCTGCCCCGCGGCGGGCTGAACCTGAAGGAGGAGCCGCTGCTGCCCGCTGGCCTTGGCTCAGTGCGCTCCTGGATGCAGGGGGCGGGCATCCTGGACTCCAGCACAGCAGCGCAGAGGTAAGCGCTCTACCAGACCCAGCGCGCTCAGGTTGGACCGTTCTGCGCCGCTTTCGCTCCGCTGTCTTAGTTGCTGGAGCCAGGGGTGGAGGGAGCCCTAACTCTGGACGGTCTCCTTGAGTTCTCGTGCTTCCCCTGTCCCGAGCGCCTAGGCTTCCTCCAGAGGTTATGGGGCGGGCCGGGGCGGGGCTTCTGCTTTCACTCTCGGGGCTGTCCGAACTCTGATTTCTGAAGGTCGCTCACGGAGGTTCAGGGCTCTAAAGGAGGAGGCAATCTCTTTGCCCGCAGTCCCTAAGCCATCACCCAAAGCCACCAGCCGTCTAGGAACCTCCAACCCCCTCTTAGGCAGTCCCAGTGCCTCTGCTTGTCCAATTCCGCGGTCTTCTGCCAAGACAAGAAACTCTGCCCACTTTCTCCTTTCCCACACTCATCAGAGTTACAGGGCCAGAGATGCTGCTGAAAGGCCGAAGGGTGGTGAATGGATTAGGAGGGCATTGGGCCTGGATGCACTGATCACTGATCAGGGAATGGGCCGGGCCCTGCCTCTTCATCAGGTGTTTTTCCGTTAGATCCTGCGGGAGGCAGGGGGCCCTTGGGAACGCAGCGCCCAAGCCTATCTCTCCTGACTCTTACAAGGGTCTGGGTGGGGGCCTAGATGAGGATGGACTCCAGGATTTGGACGGAAGGTTAAAGGCTTATTGACTAGCTTCCTTCAGCACCTGGAACACCGAACTTTTAGTAACCCCAGTTGTGAATGGGGAGAGGCTGACTCTGCAAACAGCTAGCTGGAGCAGGGTGGGCTCTGGGCTTTGGGCTTCCCGGAAGTTTCAGCAGCTGCTGTCCAGCCGCTTGAAACGAGTCTGATAGGGAGTTCCCAGGGCAGACCAGGCCTGGCACACCTGTCTACGTTCACATGCCCAGTCCTGTCCAGGGACCACCACTCATAATCCACCCCAACCTTACCCAGTAATGCACATACACATCACTTCATGTGCAAACCCAAGCAGTGTTTTTGCCAGCCTATCCTTTCAGGGCCATCAGGAGGGAGCACTGTGGCCTCTGGCTAGAGCTGATCTCTTCAGAAGGACAAAGCGTCTTGCTGATGAATCAATTCCCTTAAGTTTTATGAGTGACATAACTATATTCTAGAAAAACTGGAACGAACACACACACACACACACACACACACACACACACAATCTGGCCTCTGTATCAACTATTGTCAGCATTTTAGTGTATTTCTTTCCCTTCTTTTTCTCCACTAACTGGTTTTTGTTTGCTTGTTTGTTAATGTATGCTCTGATTAGAAATATGTGTCCTGCCTATTTTTCTGTTTATTCTGGCTTTTTCTTTAACTTGAGATGCTCAATTTCTTTACCTGGGCCTATCCTTATCCCTATCACTAGCTGTGCAGTGAGAGCTCTTTGCAAGAACTGGTGGGGAGTTGCAGTGGAGTTTCTGAGATCCAAGTTTCCTCTTTCTCCCTGATCTTTCCCTCTGTCCCTGCCCAGAGGTTGTAGGTTGGCTGAAAGGGAAACATGCAAAGAAGGCAGCAGCTTTGTATCCTGTAAGTTGCAGAAAGTGTGGGGATGAGTCCCATGCCCAGAACTAGATCATTGGTAGTGATGTCTGAGCGGGAGGGTTCTTGAGTGGGGTTGAAGTGTCCAATCTGACTACCCAGGGCCACATCACTAGGACTCAGAAACCTTCATCAATTTGAACAGGGAGGGGCATCTTCAGGCTGCTTGCTTCCAAGTTCAGAAAATTCCAAGTCTCAGGACCCAGAATGAGAGCCCCACACATTTAGTTGAATCTCTTCTCCACTTTCAGAAGGAGAGGCTAATCCTTGCTCCTCATCCTTCCTCATGTCCTGCCATCTCTCCATTGATACTTTATTCTTTAGTCAGTTCTCTACTCTAGTCTTCCCATCCCAAAACAGCAAAAAGGGACATTCCTTTCCTGTCCCCACCTACCTCTTCAGCCTCTGCTGGCTTCCCCAAGGCAGTTTGGAAGTGAAGAGTTGTCACTGATGTCTTCCTGTCCTTCACCCTAAAGCCACCTGGTTGTCAAGGCTTATGGATGTTTCCTTCTGTGTCCCAGTCCCAATCTCCATCCCACAGTCACCACTTTTAACAATGATACCTCCTCACTCTTGACCCCATCCCTCCCTGGGTTGAAGGATACCTGTGCCCTGGTTTGCCAGCTCAGCCTTCTGGTCTGGTTCCCTGCCTCCACCTCTTACTGCTCCCTCAAAACCATCTTTCATGCACCACAGACCAAAGCATTATTTCCACTTTTTTTCTGATCATGTCTCTGACCTGATTAAAAATAAAGCGACCCACCCCACTGTGCACTTGCTCTTGCCCTCCCATCCTACCCAGGGGAATGGTAGTTAGTACCATCTAAGGATGCTTACCATAGGCCAGAGAGCTTCCTCTACCTGTCCCTACGTCCTCCTGGATAACCTGTATTCACGGCCCATCAAAATCTGATCCCAGCCTTCCTTCCACAGTGTATGACACTTGGCATACAATGTGGAAAATTAACAGGACTGCCAGTAAGTCCTACCTTCTCTTAAAATAGTCCCCTGCACTCAGTGTCCACATACTCCTAAATAAAGTCTCAGCAGCCTTCAAGACCCCTCCCCCACACCAGCATCTGCTCTATCTGTGCCCTCCCATCCTCCCCATCCCTCAGGATGCTTACCACAGGCCAGAGTTTGCTGTTCTCTCTGCCTGTCTTTATCTTCCTGGCCCTGCCAGCTGGGGCCTTCCTCTAGGGCCAGGATGGCGGCTCATTCATTCTTGTGTCCACGTCACCCAAGACAGGCTCAATCAGTCTGCAAAGGGATAATGAGTATCTGCTGAAAATAGAGTGCATCTGAGAAGACTCCCAAATCCCTTTCTGTTGGGTTCCCCTCTTCACCTTGGTGGCCTCCAGGAACCTGGTACTGGAGAAGCTATTCCTTCCCCCATTTTAGAACTTGGCCTTTACAAAATGCCAAGGTTTTATAGAAGGTGGGTGAGGAAGAGAAGGCCCAGAAGGCTTCCCAAGGTCAATAAGAGTGGCTGTGCCCACAGGAAGGAAAGTTCTGAGCAAGAGAGGTAGGGAGAGAAGAGGAATTGCGTACTCATCACTTGGAGGCAGGAGACAAGGGCAGGGCAGGTGAAGAAGGTGCCAGTAGAGAGGTCTTCTCTCTCCCTGCTGGTATCTTCCTACCAGGGAAGTCTGCACAAGGACCCCTGGCCATTGCTGTGACTGCTCCTGACCTGAACCAATAAGACTTTATCTCTGAAACCACATGCACAGCCCCAGCCCACTCTCCCTGCCTCCCCTGCAGACCCACATTCTTCTGCTGGCCAGATCAGCACAGGGGCAGCTCCCTCCTCCTTCAGTTGTGCTTCCAAGGCTGGGGAGACCTCTGGAAGGCCCAGACCAGTCCTTTCCCTGGATGAGACCCCTGGAGGACCCAGGCCAGCTTTCTCCCATGAGCCTGTCCTAGCCCATGAGCAGGGCCTCGGAGAGGGAAGCCAGCTGGGGCTGCCTTTCCTGTAAGCAGCTGCAGGCCAGCCTCCCTGCTAGGAAATGCTTTTGTTTGCTTTAATAATTAATAGCTGCTCCTCTGCCTGGGACCTGGCAAGCAGGCCTGCGGGTGGGTGGTGAAGAGAGGGTGGGCAGAAGAGAGGCAGGGTGGGCAGTCTGTAGGTAGAACTGAGGGCTAGGAGAGAGAGAGAGCCTTCTTTCCCCTTGCACCCCACCTCCTTCAGGGACCTGGGTCTCTGAACTAGCTTCCTGGGGCAAGTGAGCAGAACATCTGCTAGGCAGTGGGAAGAGGGGATCTGGAGCCTTTGCAGCCCCAAACCTCCTCTCCAGCAGGACCATCTGCACACAGGTTCTGGGCAGCTGCCTCTAGCCACCAGGCCTTCCCTCTGCCTGCATTGCTGAAGTGGGTGACCCTGTGAGCTACTGCTTTTATCTTCCCTGGTTTGTGGCACTGGGCATGTCGAGGGGTGAGCAGGACCAGGCCAATAGATCTTGGCTGGGGCAGGAATACCAGGCTCAGCATGATGATCATTGGCAGTCCCAGGGGTTCAGAGGATGCCTTTGGGAGAGGAGTGGGTGCCAATGGGGTGCTTAGAGAAAGGCAGAATGTGGAGGAAAGGAACAGGGGACTTATGAAGTCATGTCAGGATGGGAAAGAGAAAAAGCTGTATTTAGAGAGGGACTTTAGGGAAATCTTAGACCAGGGATGGAATGCAGGAGACCTACACTTTTTGTTCCTCCCTCTTGATGGAGGGGGGAGGATGGCCAACGAAAGGTCGCCTTCCATTGCTGTTGATCCCAGGGCTTGTCACAGTTACCCCAGCATCCCAGACTTGAAGATGGATCAGGCTCAAGCCTTGGGCTGAGCCACCTCTCTGAGCCTTGGGCTGACAGGGTGGGCATGAGCTAAGATGGGGTGGGGGAAAGAAGGCAGAAGATCAGGGCTCCAGCCTAGGTCATGTGTCTTCTGGGGGGGGGGAGGGGTGGTTGGGATGGCTGTCATTAAATTGCTCATATTTGTAATAAGCATGTGGCCAAGGATATAAAGAGCCACTAGTGGTTTGCGGATAGAGAACAGAGACTACAAAAGGGGGGCTTTATCTATACTCGAGGGACCTGGCAGGGTCTAGGCTGCCCTGAGAAGAGCCCTAGGAAATCCTGTTAAGCCTTGCAAAGAGAGCATCTCCAGGGACCTGTGAATGGTCCCATCAATAGCAGCCAGATATTCTGTAGCTCCCACCATTTCCTCACATGCCTCCCTGTGTACTCTGGGGTATTATTAATCTGACCAGCTGAGTGGCGAAGGCTGTGAAGCCTTGTGTCACTTGGCAGTGCTCAGGAAGCCCAGGCACACCCATGGTTTGGTACAAGGCAGATTTCCTCTCATCAAAAAGTATGTGTGCAAAATAAATCTTTTTGGTGACACAGTCTCTGATTTTGGAACTAGCTAGGAATAG